TTTTCGAGCTCATTTTAAAAGTGGCAAGATCACCAAATCCGCTAAAAACTTGTATATAGGGGTAATTCAACATCCTGATCACGAATATGACATTCATTTTTGGCGCTGGCGCTAATGGATGACACTACGGTTACCTGCGCTCTGCTAAGGCTGAGCCCAGGAGGTAATCGTAGTGTCCTCTCTTGGCGCCAGCGCCAAGAATGAGTGTCATACTCGTAATCAGGATGTTGAATTACCCCTATATACAAGTTTTTAGTGGATTTGGTGACTTAGGCAATTTGAAAATGAGCTCGAAGACGAAATTTCTGGAGTCCAAACGGCATTAGCCGCTCGCCTGTACCTCCAAGATCGGCCTGTGCTGTAGATTCAGAGTTTATTGATTGATTATTCACCTGCTTTGCAGTGCCTTCGATGCTTGGTAGTTCCTTTCCATGAGCTCGAACGAAGTCACGGCGTCTCCAGTGAGCACAGACGTAGTCGCCTCCTACGGCTTGTCGCTGTCTGCTTTCTGCTCGGAACGAACTTGCCAATTCAGTTCGATCACGCTTGTCGTCTGATGACAGCTGTTTGGCCCTTTAAGAGAATTTAGCTTACACATGGTCACTCTCAAATAATAATAGAAATGGTGAGAATATCTAAAATAGTGGGAAGGAGGTGATGGTATAGAAGGTTGAGTTGCTCAGCCGGCGTACAGGCTTGGTAGGCGTACCACCGGGCGCCAAATCGTGGATCGGCTCCCGGTGGTACGCCTACCAAGCCTTGATTTCCTGATTGGTAGCTTAATTGGTACAAGCCTTGTCTGGAATGATGAGAACCCAAAGTTGTGCATCACCTAGCTCCCAAATTTCATTGGATCGTCAAATTCGCATGCAAAATATCTCCACGGTCATGTACGGAAAAGTACGAGAAAGGATTGACCAACGCCGAAAGCTCCGCTTTTTTATTATCGATGTTGGGACGCTTCCTATTTACCTTGGCCGTGACCAAAATACGGGGAAACGAACATTAATTACCTGAAGCGATTTGCAATCTCTATGAGGTATTTGGCATAACGCATACTTCGTCGCGCTTCCCAGTAGTAGACATCACCATAGTGCTGATGAAGGATCGCCTCGCCTCGATCAAAGGAATAAGAATATGCTTAGTCCTTGGGAAGAACAAATGGTTATTCTCTATATTTAAAGAAAACTATTCCTTGCAGAGACGAAGAGATGCCTCTTTTACTGCCGCTTGGCATTCCTTGATAATGAGATCTCTTAAAGTCGCTGAATCACCTTGAATTGAAATGCACTCGAATTTCTTTGCTCGCACATCATCATATGCAAAAAACCAACAACGCCTAACCATTTTCGCGGTGCATCATAACGAATGGTCAAAATCAAAGAGTTCCGTAAAACGGCCCCAAAAAAGTCACCATGAATCGTCGCTTATCTGTTGATAAAAACGAGAGCCATCAATGCATTCTCTGTGATCGTACTTTATCTTGTACTCGTCTCCCCAACCCTCTTTGTACGGTTGCAGATAGACAACTTGATCTATGATCTGTCCATTCTCTGCAAAATCTTATTTGAAGCTAGTTTTTTGAAACTTGGAAAATTTGCGTCATAAGGCGGAGATGTTGCGGTGACAGGTATGCCTCTCACCAGATATAGCTGATATCGTCGCAATCAGCCGGGGCGGTGCCAGGAAGCGTGGAAAGAGCCTGCCCCCAGATGCATCTCCTGCTGCAGTGATCGATCCAGACAGGAAACAACCACTGCTAGAAAAATCCCGCCACTGTGCCTCGCGTCATTACAGCTCCAGACTGGCCATTGTGACGATATCAACTGTGAACAATCCAGGCATATCTGCAGGGCCGGTAAGTCAGTTGCTGAGGAGGACAGAAACACAGTTTTACATAAATCGACTCCCTTCGCCACTGTGTAGGCTGCGCTACAGTCTAGCATCACAACTATTCGATTTGATGTCGAATTCTTGGCACATCCGCCACCTGGAAAATTCTGCTTGCGTTGAACTCCCAATGCTATGTATGTGGTTTACTGGAGTTTCATGAAAGTTCTACTAGTTTTTTGCCACTTTCATAGAAGAATTGGAAGATTATTCTCGGAAGAAACTCGCCTCTTAGAAAGTCTTCAAATTCCATCACAGGCACAAATTCGTTTAGACTCTCTATGTCGAAAAACTTCGACCATCTTACTTTGAGTTGCTGTTTTTGCCAGTGATAAAGACCTCCCCAAGGAGGTAGCACCAAAACAAACGGTTCTCCTGAGCAAATACATTACATTATTTCCGAGGATTTACTCTCAACTATCTTCAGTTATTTCACGCTATGAGACAAAGCAGAACTGAGACGTATCCTCATCATAGTTGGCATAGCTTTTCAGTATCTAAGCGATTTTCTCACTTTAGCGCTGAATCCCACAGTCTGAAGGTAAGCAAAACACGGCAACTTCATTGCGTGATCAAGTTCCTCTTTGCTAACGCTGTTCAGAGCACCACCCAGTGGGGCCACCAACAAGTAGGGCAGTGTCCGCGAAGAGGTAACGCTGCTTCAGAGCACCACCCCAGTGGGGCCACCAACAAGTAGGGCAGTGTCCGCGAAGAGAGGCGCATTGGGCTTGTTGACGAAGGCCGAAGGCACCTCCCGATCAGCAAGTGTTTTCTGGGAAAATACGGGTGAGAGATGATAACAGGAAGGCAAGGCTGGATTAAGGCAGAAGACTAGTTGTGCTAGGCTTGTTGAGAGGGAATCAAAGGGCTCAAATCTCGATAGTCGAGTTCTTTCTGGGAAGATACAGTTGGGAGGTGGTGATCAGATAGATAAGACAAGACTTCAGATTCAATGAAGGACGGGTTTGAGCCTGTGGTAGAGCCGTCGAAGAATTATCATCGACATGAAACCAAATCAAGAACCACCACTATAAAAGCTGTAAGTTATGGCGGCTTGCGGATGATAATTGGAGATACGTCTCTAAAACCATCAAAACTCCCATTTTTGAACACTCTTTTCCTAAAAGGTTGCTGTGTTCCCCATAATATGCTACAGCTTCCGCACAAAATGAACACGCCGCACTTTTTAAATGTCG